GCAGTTAATAATACAACAGCTTCTTGCCATTTTTTGGGTTTCTTTTTATCGCTGTGTAACTGAGTTCAATTGAAAGCCTGCGTGCGCTAGTACCTCTTGCCACAAGTTCCCAGAATCCTTTGCGGTTTTACCCCTGAATGACGTCACATTTTCAATCTTTATCCTGGTGGGCCGGTCTCTAGTCAAAATGCCCGGGCCGATTTTTTGTCCCAGTCCAGCCTTGTTCCCAGATCATCATGAAAATGTTGTTCCAGGATCAACATTGCAAGTGACCAATCAGAATGTTGTGACGTCATACTTTTGCGACTTCGGGAAAAACCGCCGTAAAACAAAAAACTGTACTTAAGCTGCGAGAAACCGCCTCTGTCCGCCGATCAACGGACCCTGACCCTAACCCTTTAATAAACGGTAAGCAGAATTGATATTGTCCTTGCAACATTGGAATTTCATAAATGCACGAATGGCTTGGCGCGCAAAAGAATAACGTCACAACAATGTGATTGGTCACTTGCAATGTTGAACCTGGAACAACATTTTCATGATGATCTGGGAACAACACCAACACGACGATATCAGATCATCCGAGACAAAATATACACAAGAGGGTGATTAGGAGAAATGGGACACATGGGGAACAACATAGCAGAAGTGAAGGAAACAAACAAGACAAGGGAAAAAAAACTAAATGTAATGCACATGAAATGATGGACTACCAAAATATAACAGAAAGTAACTAATAAAAAGACTAGGACCTGGTTGCTATGGTTACTCAAGGGGGCAGCCTTGTTAATATCTTATACCCTTCATACCTTTGGTCAGTGCAGGAAGAATGCTTAACTGCAGCTATGAATATTTTCTTAAATCGATAAAACACTGCCATTGTTTATTCTAATTGTAATATTTTGTTTGGTAGGATGCTAGGTTGGCTAGCATCCTACCTGGTCTTTCACTATGCATATAAAACACTCTGATTCTTCAAAAGCTGATGTTTAACTATGTCAAAAGGAGGTCTAATTTAGGCTGGAATTCCACCTGTTTATCATATAATTCATTTTTTTTTAATCCTTGGATTACATACTATTAATTTATTAATTGGATTATGTTTTTATTTTTTGTATTTATCTAAAAAGTGATTTTTGCCCCCACAGAAAGACTTTGAATGTATCCCAAATTACCAGGCAACAGGTTTTTTAAAATTCTGGTTTGAGAATAGACTAATTTCTGGAAAGCTTGCTGGGCATAGGTTTGCACACTTACTCGACTACCTCCCCTGAACAATAACTAATGAATGCTGCTCTCTCTCAGAATCCAAGAACATGTTGTAAAATGTTTATTCTTTTCTTTTTTCCACAATACTTGCAATCTTGTCGTTTCTTCTGGGTGTGTTACAAGTGTGTGTGCATATGTTCTCTGGTTAAATTTAATAAAAAATATCTCTGAGGAAAAAAAGAGTCTGAACTGTCAACTTTTGTCCTCTTCTTTATGTGACATTTAAAACTGCTGATAATGGGTTTTAAAGAAGCTCTTACACTCAGCTCCTATCAGTGTCACACTGTGTTTCTATTTGCTTTAGTCGTGTTTGGTCTTGATAATCTGTCTTTACGGGAAAAAGATTTGTTTTTCCTTTTGGGGGAAGGGAAGGGGTGCTGTTTTGAGGCATGTTTAAACATAATACCATCCAAACGTTATAGATTATGGATTTTTTTTTTTTAAAAATCTGTTTTTTTGCATCTGATATTTTCTGACAAGAAATCAGAGACTTTTTTTTTATCAGTGAGCTCAACTGGTGCCCCTGAGAGTATCTCTAAATGAACAGTACAACAAATTGTGAAGCTGATAGGCTACAGCACCATAATAAATATAAATCCTTAAAACCAATATGTCCACAGTGTTCAGCAGGGGTTAATCTGTGTGGTGTTTCTTGCTGTAGTTTCCAACTGTGAACTCCCATCACCTTATTTCTTCTGCACACAGATTTTATACTTATTCCTCCTTTCTCCCCCCTATCAATTGATGTGAGCCACACCCTGTTATCCTCTCTCTGTGACATTTCACCCATATTAACCAAAGCAGACGTAAAAGCAGTAAAACCAGTTGTTACATTTTTCATCCATCATTAGGCTATGGATTACAATAGGGGGAATTAGATATACCATATGTCAAAAAACGATTTATGGCCCCTCTTTATGACAGGGGAAGTAATAAAGGCAGTAAGAAAAATTTATAACAGTCATAGTCTTTATGATATGTCATAAAGTATTAATAATTCATTAGTGATAATTGTGATAACGAGTGATAATTTATACTCACATGATTAAAATATGATGATGAATAATATGTTCAAAAGATGTATTATAAATTAAATATATGGAACAAAAATTATATTAGTGTTTTGTTGTCACTTTAAGCAAAGAAGATTTCTTTTTAGACAAAAAAAAAATCTCTTTTTGTTGGGGCTGTGCGCTTGTGTGTATGTGTGTATTGTTACGTTTATTTATCCAAAACAATGGTTTTATTGTCCATCCTATGTTTTTAAGTAAAGCATAGGAGTGTTATACACATGTCAGGTTACAACAGTTATGTTAGGGGAGTTGAAATCTATTTTAAGAAGATATACCAAAGATCACAGGATTGGAAAAATATTCAAATGAGCTCTTCTTGTTTTATTGGAACAGTAAAGTACCACAACAAAGAATAAGTCCACCTATAAAAGAAAAATTATCACTGCTGACTGGGAGTTGTCTTCTTTTACGTGCAGACTCGGGTCAGGGCTGATAGTTTACTTGTGATATTTTCTTATTTAAACATTTGTGACTTAGAACCTTAAAGTTTAAAACCACAACATCTTTCTTTCAGCCATTTGTGCTTATCACTATATGTGACTCATTTCTATGCAATAACCAAAGTACACAAATGCAATATAAAACATTTCAGTTATAAAAGATACATTGTATATATGTGTAATCATGTATGCATGCAAAGTTCCTGTTACAAAATTACACAGTGTAAGAAAAATAAAATGTATTAGGATGTTGTGCTTTTTTAAAAATCTGTTTTTCTGAAAATGAAAATTGCACCTTTTCTTTTTTCACAGTGCCTGTATGCCTCTTCCAAAACTTTGTGCTATTCACCCCCAGATGCATGATTATCTGAGGCATGTCATCAGATGGCCACCTTCTTGTAATTCATAATGGTTTGTGCTCGCTGCTTTGCTTGGGCGTGCTGGATCAGATCCAGATGTAGAGTCAGTGCGGCAATAATGGCTCTTTGTAGTTCATAAAAATTTTTCTCAAAAAGCGATGTTTCAAATGTAACAAACAGCTGAATGCGGTGTGAACGCAAGGGGACCAGCAACACTGCTGATATAAAGTGATGATGGTCGGTAAAGCAACTGGTCAGGACGTGTTTTTCTGGTGAGTCTGCAAAGCTGCCTTGGTTGATTTCAAAAAATTTGGCTGTAAATTTGGTTTTGATTCTCATTGGCCAAAGAGAGGGCCACCTCTCCCTGTAATTACTCTATTAAGGGAGGAGCTCCAGATGCGCCCATGGAATAGACTAGAGATTCCAGTAGATGAAAGTCAGGCAGGTGAAATCTTACGGTCTTGCTCTGAGCTCTCGCTTGAGGGGGATCCTAGCACCAGCAGCTAAATACTTCATAGATCATAAGTTTCCTAATTGGTAAAAAAGGGTAGAACCACCTCTCTTTAAGGTTCAGGAGGAGCTCCAGATGGCGTCCCAGGTAGCATCTCAAACCCTGAATCTTGGATCTTCTCAGGTACAGAGCTGCAGGGCTGTGAACATCCACCGCTCTCTCTCTCTCTCTCTCTCTCTCTCTGTGGCCTCACTCTGACTGTGATTTTCTTTTTTCAGATTAAATGAATACAAATAACTTAATTACAGACTTCCAATGGACATACAGCCAATTCAGAATAACCTATTTTTCGTTTCACACTTTCATGCAACTTTTTTGCATGCAAAAACACACTATTATGAATTATTGTTACATATTCAATTTTTATACATATTTTGAACATATTTATCCTCATATTTCATCATATAATTATGAATTATTACTCAGTTATGAATTATTACATACATAAATTACTCAAATGACATAATTTCCTAAATAAAGCATTCAGACTGATTCTATTAAACATTTATGACATGTCATAAATCATTTGACAGAGGCCATACATCTCTTTTTGACACATGGTATAGCTAATCCATCACTGGATATGACATTTCACACAGGACACCTCATGCAGCAGATTAGCACCTTTAAAATCCTTAAAATGAGCTACAGCCCAGAAAACCTTGGATTTCTATTTATCTGTGTACACAGAACCAGGGCTGGACTGGAATGCAAAAAAAGTTAAAACATATGCACATACTGGTGAAAATTCCTTAAAGCAGTAGTAAAGCTAAATAGTACATAAAAAAGATAAATAGAGTCATTTGTCACATAATCACATTTTCTGTTTAAAAGATGCATTACTTGGAATAATTTTACAAAATAGACGTTTCTCAACTTACAACACTAATTTCTTCAGTGAGATACTCTTCTCTGCAACTCTGTCAGTGCTGCCATTATCAAAAGCCACAAGTATGTCCTTTAGCCATCAACATACAGATGGGTTCAAGATGTTATGATCTGTAGTGAGAGTATGGAGCAGGTGGAAGCGAGCCTGCAAAGGTGGAAGTATGCACGGGAGACAAGAGGAATGAAAGTGAATAGAAGCGAGACAGAATATATCTGTGTGTGAATGAGAGGAAGGTTGGTGGAAGAGGAGGGATAGTGGATTCACTGGACAAAGGATGTTGAACATGGAGATGTTAGACAGACGGAAAAAAGAAAGACCAGAGAAGATTCATGGATGTAGTGTATGAAGACATGTGGAGGGTTAGTGTGACAAAATAGGATGGTAGAGTCAGGTTGAGATGGATAATATTTTTATACAGAAGAACTATTTGTAGATTAAAACAAAACATATGGAGGCATATTTGTGTTTAAAAAGCATCTTTATTAAAATGCAAGTTGAATAACTTGCGTGACAACCTCAGGACTGACTGCACATCTTTAAGCTGGAACAAAAGAATAAAACATGAGGATGCAATTGTGTTAAAATAATCAGTCAGGCCTAAAAAAGTACTGAATTAACTGTATTGTCAAATACTGTATTGTGTTGAGATTGAACAAATATTTTAAAAATAACTTCAATTCAATTTTGTGTGAAATGTGGTGTTCTCGCTATAACAGTTTGTTACCTGCAGCTGATGGGTAAATGTATTCAGTCTCAGCCTGGTCACCTGAGAGAGAAAACAAAGTGGAAAAATGTGACTTGCTGTGTTTTTACAACACGTTTAAATTTGATCCTTCAAATTCTGTTAACTGCTGTTTGTTGTACAGCTTCACTACAGAGCAACGTGTGTCAGTGTGCTGTTGCAGTGAAGTGAGTTAGAGTTGTACTTGGCTGGTAGTAGTCATAGATTTTGATCATGGCTGGTTTCAGGTTCTCCACTCGAAGTTCTTCTATGACTGTCAAGCTGTAGTTCATGGGCATGTCCTTTGGCAACTGGATAAACAGGAGACACACTCTGTAACAATACAAACATCATCATCTGGTATCCCCACTGTCATTATCTCTCACCTCCTGTAAATACACCAGAACATGATCTTCTGTTTGTTCAACACGATCCACCAATGGGGCACCTTCGAGCTGTGAGGAGACAACAGTCTCCTTATTATTTTATCTCATCATAAACTGACACATGGTAGCAACATTTCTATTCAGCTAACAACTGCAACAACCCACCATCTTTAAAGACACTGCATTTGGGACAAATCCAGAGAGCATTTTGATATCCAGGATCACCATGTTGGTAGTATTCTCCTTTCCACTGTACCTGTGTTCGAACAGTTAAAAAGTGATTGCACTGATGTGTATCCATAGATGCCACATTTCCAACACTTATCCCACAGTGGTAAATAAAATTCCCCTAGCACATATCTAATCTGTTAAATACTTACAGGGATTTTATTGTCAGAGTGAGCTTGCGTCTGGATTCACTTGTTGCATCAACCTCTGATTTGACCTCCACGCTGAGAGTAGTGACATCAGTGGGACTCGGGATGTTGTAGTGAACAGAAATCTGCGAAATAGTCAACCAAAAGAGGTTTGCAGTTTATAATAATAGTAATAAGAAGAAGAATAGAAATCTGTTTATGTTTTTATGTTTATGTTTTGCATTTATGTTCAAATATAGTGGCGTCACATTTTAGGGGACTGATTAAAGTTATGAAATTATTTTGGTGGTTGTGGCCAGAATATTATGTACACTAATTGTGGGCAGAAATGTCATCTTGATTTGGAGCTTCTTTCATCAAAATATTTAAAATTGAGATAAAGGCTTGGACGTGAGAAGGGATCTGGAAATAGAACTGCTGGTTATTTACTTAAAATATACCAGCTAAGATGGTGCAGGCATGTTTGCAGGATGCCTTTATGACACTACCCTCTGGAGATTTTCCAGGCAAATCCAACTGCGAGGATACACACAGTGTAGCTAGACCTTCCTGGAGATATTATACATGTCATCTGGCCTTAGTGAAATCCATGATGAAGAACAACGACAACAACAACAAGAAAAAAAATACATAGGAGGAAAAGGAATGTTTGAAATCATTTCCTTAGTGGGAAGCCACTGCATCCTGAATTTGGATAATTTGAGCAAATACACAGATGTGTTTTTCTGAGTGAAATCACATTTTTTCATTATACTTCTGTATTTGGAAAAAGGAACAAGCAGGATACTGTCACTGACCTGCACCGACACACATGCAGTGCCCTTCACCTCCAGGCTGTATTTTCCTGACACGCCCTGCATCGTCTCCTCCTGGTAGAGCAGTTTGTTGCCCGGATTTACATCAAATGTCAGCTGACTGCTGTCAGACTGAACTGTCACTGTGCTTGAACCCTCAGGACTGAACACCAGAGTGGAGTAGAGAGCCAGAGCCTGAAGAGCCACCACTGTGTCCTACAAACAAAATCACAGCTACTACACATACTTACATATATATTTATATTTTTGTATTTTACAGGACAAGTAAAACTTCAGTATTCAGCTTCTCTCAAATTAGTTTTTATTTATCCCAGTTTATATGAACTCAAAGGTGAGATTTAAGCTGTTTGGTGGTGTACCTGAGTGGAGGAGAAGCCTCCGTAATAATTCTGCTGCCCAGTCAGCCACCTGATAATACCAGAGGCATATCCCAGATCCAGCAGTCGGGGAGGCGCTGAGTTTGGCCAACAGCACATAAGAACTGATCTCCACTGACAGGGAGGCTGATGTTTCTGCTGCTGTCTGAGACCAGTAGAGGAAACCTCCTACAAACACAATAACAGTCACAGTGATGCTAATGAAGCCTGAATGATGTCCTGCTAAAGGATGGCTCACCTTCCCTCACTGCAACTGTGTCTAAGTGCTGCAGAAGGTGAGCTCGGGTCTCCACGTCTCCTGCCAGAGTGAACACATAGGCCAGCAGAGCTGTAGTGTAGGTGTTGCTCAGGTCACTGAGAGACTCCTTGAGACAAGCCAGGCTCTTGTTCATCACAGGATCCTTTAAAAGATCAAAACACCCTATGAAGACAAACTATTGACCCTGCCCAGGACAGGACATACGCTGCTACTCTCTTTATTCAATTGCACAATACTATGTCACTTTTAGAATCACCTGCACTGATAGCTAAGTTATTTATTTCAGGATATAGTTATATTGTTTCTTTGTTAGAGTTATTTGATATTATATTTTGCACTATCCTACTGTATATTACTGTATACTACTATTCTTATTGTATATATTGTATATCTTATTCCTCTGTTCCTCTGTCTCTCTTGCTGCATTGAGCATGTGTATGACAAAAGAATTTCCCTCAGGATAAATAAAGTTCTTCTTATCTTATCTTATCTTATCTTATCTTATCTTATCTTATCTTATCTTATCTTATCTTATCTTATCTCACCAAAGTTGATCATTTCCTTTATGTAATTATTTGTTTAACTTCATTTTCATGACTGGAAATAGAAATAATCTTAACATATTTCCTTTTCACCTACAGCCAGAAAGTATCGACTTAAGTGACTTAGAAATCTATCATAAAAATGTATTTTTAAAATGAGGGGAAAATGGATGTCAAAAGAAGAAAATGAAATAAATATATACAAGTCAGTGTTGTATTTTTTTTTTTTACATTGTACAAATTTGATTAAATCACTCAAATTTACTCACATGTTGGGATATATTCATTTCCAAGAAAGCAGCAGTGATGTATGCACTGAGAGTCACTTCATCAGACACACCACCCTGGTGAGTGAAACCAAGTTATTTCTGTGTGCTGCCAGAATTTCTCTCCACACAGAATTAGTATCAGTGTCCAGCTAAAGTATAGACTTACCTTCATTCTGTTGTTGAAGAGTTTGCCTGACTTTTTAAAACAGCCATTTGTTTGTTGTTTATTTTCCAGCCATGTCTTAGATTCTTGAATGATTTTTGGATCAATGTAGACAAAAGACTGAGCTTTGGCAAAACTTCTCATCACAAAAGCAGTCAGCCTGACATAAAAAAGCACCCAAAAGAAAATTTCCTCATGTTTCGAAATTATATCAAAATGTGTCACAGTTATGCCATTATAATGTGAGTTGATTTTCTCCATGTCCAGAAATAAAATGATAATAGGATGGGAGATTTAAGGAGTAAATTTCACCAACAGGCTCAGTTTTGTTTCTGAGGCAAATGGAATATTAAGGTAATTATTATTTTCACCAAGTGTTTCCTGGTCCTCTTCCAAATGTGGTGTATGCGCCTTCATCACTTTTGTAGTTCAGCTGTCTTTGGTAACCTGTAACAACAGGAAAATGACTCTTAAATAGATATTCTATTCATAAACCTTTGATTTTAGTCTCACTATGAAACAAACACACTCACCACTGGTCAGGAAGTTCGCAGCTTTTTCCATGATGGCTGGGGTGAGCTGCTGTGTGCCTTTCAGGTACTGGAGGATGTAGATGTTGGGGGCTAGAAGAGCCATGTTCTGCTCTCCACATCCATATGGCATCCGGAGCAGTCCATCCAAGTTCTTCAGAGCCCGGCCGAGGATGTCACCTGATCAGAGGCACTCAGTCACTGAGACAGAACATACAACGTTCGAACACTTGAACTGCAAATAGATTAAGAAGCTAGTAAAGAAGCTAAATATTTAGAAAAATACAGCAGGTTATATAAAAACTGTATATACTAAATTATAATATTTTGCACTTTGTTATTGGAATGTAGTTTCTAAAGTATTTTCTACACTACAAAACTGTTGGAGTCTCATTTAATAGCGTGTTTCAAAACTAGGCAAAAACAATGCCAGTCCAATTGTATTTGTCTTTTATATTAATTCACTATTGATTGAAAAAATAAACTTCTTATATTTATTTCTGGATTAATCTAAACTCATTTAATTAAAAATGATCAGGTTTACCCAGGACTGATACAAAAGTGCGGGCAGATCCTTCAATCATATTCTCAGGCAGCTGTATCTCAGTTTCCTCTGTCAGTGTGTCTCCTGTGTACAGACAAACAATCACCATACAGAGAGAAGCTTAATCAGAATGTCAGTACCAAAATAGTATCAAATCAGCAGGTGGTCACAGCATCATGAACTGTAACAGGTCATATGAGAAATCAGACACCTATAATTAAACCTATAAGCACAAAAAATATTATTAAAACAATAACAACAACAACAACAACAACAATAAGAGTACTATGAGTGTGACCTAATATTTCCACACAGATGTGTCCAGACTGACTCTTACCAAGCGTGTCAAGTTTGTAACATAGTGTATATATGAGATATAACTATAAATATCTCATATATAGTTGAGATATACTGTAACAACTAAATGTCCTGTAGGGAATTATCAAAATTTGGTGTGACACCCACAAACACCCCTCAACAAAAACTCAAAACTGGAATGACTACATGGCACACATCTTTAATGACTTTAAAAAACAAGACTTGGGTACACAAGAGATTGTGTCTAAATGTCGAGCCAGAATTATACCATTAGTTTGTTGATGACTACCAAAGGCATGTGGTCAAGGTGCAACTTGACAAGGGATATTTAGCTGTCATGGTTCTGGGTCATTTTGACCCAGTGCTTTTGTTATTGTGTATTGTGGTTTATGTTTTAGGTACATTAGTAGTCTTAAGTTTAGTCTGTTTGTCCATTTAGTCTCGCTTTGTGTTGTTGTCATGTGTGTCCCTGTCTGTGTGTCTGTGTTTATGTGAGTTTGTGTGTCTGTGTGTGTGTTTTGTTTGCCCTCCTTGTGTTTCATTCCATCTTGTTTATCCATGTTCCCCTTTCTCTCATCCTCTTTGTCTCTTGTGCTCTCTCGCCCTCTCTTGTTTCCTCGCTCACTCTCTCCTCTGACTTTCTCCCACTCCTGTGTCAAGCTCGTATGTCAGTCTTGCGTTCCTTTGTTTCCCGTTTTATTTTGACAGTCTCACGTTTCCATGTTCGGTGTGTTTAGTTTTGCATCCCCTGTGGCGTCATGTTTATTTGTGTCAGCTGTGTTCCCCGTGTATTTGGTTGGTGTATAAACCACACCAACCTTTTGGACAAAGCAGCCAGTTGGATGTCTTTGTCATCTCAGTCCCCTCAGCCTGAGAAAGAACAGGTTACAGTTTCACCTTCGTGAGAAAACAAGTTTTCAAATGCAGAATGTTTTTCATCCTGTGTTAATGGCACCAACCTTTACTATGAAGGATTTTGTGACCACATCAATGCGGCCTCTCTCTGGTACTCTCACAACCTCATTATCACATGAAACATGGGATGGCACTGCCTCAGCAGACACGGTGACATTCACAGCCCCTAAAAAAGGACAACAAACATCATTTTTCTCAACCCTGTAAAGTCTTGCACATTAAAATACTGTTAATTAGATAATCTCACTGATTTTGTAGATACTGAAAAGAGAAGGGGCATTGACTGAAAGGACATTTACACCGGTGTGGATAAAAACTTGATCCTTACCTAAAACTGTTGGAATCATGGTCCAGCTCACAGTCTTGCGCTCCTTAGCACACAAACAGGATGTGTACTGCTCACCGGAAAGAGGGGTGAGGGTATAATCTGAGGAAGGCGTAGAAAAGACTGTGACCTGCACAAAGAACAAAACAGTGGGTTGAGTTTCTAAGTAAAAGAGGAATTCAGTGTTTTCTTGTTACTCTGTGAGGACAGAATACTTTCAGTTATTGCCTCATTCACCAAGAGTCGCTTCACATGTTTTGATTTGGTATAATTTTGCACTGAATATCCTTCCTGATACTTGATGGGAAGTGTGTACACCACTAATGTCTTAGTACTGGCTCTTCAACCCAGTTTTTCTTTTAGTTATGCTCTGGAATTATTTATTTGTTTGAAAGACCTTGGACTGATGTTCAGAGTTTTTATTAGTTAGTTTTGAGTTCCGGATTAGACTTGTGTTTCTGTGTTATTTTTAGTTCTCACCTCTTGTTCAGTCGTGTTTGTTCCCCTTTTTGTCCAGTCTGTCACTATCTTGTGATAGTGTTTTTTGGTCTCTCTGGGTTCTGTCTCAATGGCTGTCTGTGTTCCTTATCTAATGTAGTTGATATGTCTATTTTTCTGCAGTCCCTCTGTTACTTCCTGTTTTATTTTGATAGTGTCTTGTCTCATGGGTATGATGTTGACTTTTGCTTCCTTTGTGTTATTAGTTTTGATTCAAGTCAGCTGTGTTTCCACGTGTCTCCACTTCCCTTAATCACCCTTCTATTCCCCACTGCATCGTCCTTCATTGTGGATGTATTCTATTACAGTTTTTCTCGATTGGTTTGGCTCATTTCTTGAAACCGAGATGACATTCTCAAAATAACATGGACAAATCTCCAAACCACCTTGCAATTGTTCACAACAGAATGTCATTTTTCATTGGTTTTATCAAATTGCAAATGCTTTAGTACATGTCTCAAGTGACTCTGTGCTTCTTTTCAAATGATTATGTACAAGTAGCTACAGTTAGCACAATGAGCCCACATTTAGCACATTTTCCAAATAAATAGATCTTGGCGATCTAAACTGATTAGTTGATTTTTCAGTGAAATGGTCACTCACTCCAAAACATATCAGCATGGTTTCATTGTGTAAGTCATCATATGCACAATTGTCTGTTCAACTGTCAAAATTAGTCAAAGATATAATACCATGAAAGAATATCTTGGAACATTTGATAAAGTTATGACAGTACTTGACAATCAATCAGGTGAAATTAGAACTAACGAAGGAGCAGTTTCCCACATCTCAGATGACCAATCAAACAGGTTGTTTAGATACCTGACAGGTGTTGTCTATGATTATGACTGCTGCCAAAAGTATATAGACAGAGCTTGGCCCGGGGCCAGTTTCATTTGCAGTGTGAACATGGAAGCACCTCGCCAAGTACAACAGCAACTTCCTGCTCGAGGAAGAGGAGGAAGAAGAAGAGGAAGAGGAGGAGTGAGAATGCGTGGAGGAATAGGGGGAAGAGGCCGAGGAGCACGGAGGCACCATGATGTCCCAGATGAAATCCGGGCCACCCTTATTGACCACGTTATAAACCATCGCCTCACAATGGCAGAGGCAGGTCGCCGAGTGCAGCCTAATGTGCCTCGGTCTACAGTCTCCTCCATCATCCAAACCTTTCGCAGGGAAAACAGGTACAGAACTATGCTATTGAACTATTCAGTGTTGGTGTGTGTGTAGGCCTAGAGTACTGTAATATCTTCATGTGATGTTATATGATACTATAAAAATGACAAAGAAAAAAAATGGAGAAAATACTGTGAATAGTATTCCAGTCACTGTGCAGTGCATCACACTTTTAGTACCATAAAACAGCAGTACAATTACATTGGTAACTCATTTTGTAACAAATTTACAGTGTTGACCTTTGACTTGTATGTCTAGGATTGGACGACAGCCTCAAGTGGGTGGCAGAAGAAAACTTCTAAATGAACAACAAGAACGAGAAATATGCAACATGGTCATTGCAAATAATGCCATCACACTGAGACAGATTCGTAATGCAATCCTGCTAGACAATGTAATGTTCCAAAATATAAACTCTATCAGCATCTCCACAATAGACCGGGTATTGAAGAAACATCAGATGACCATGAAACAGATTTACAGGGTACCATTTGAGAGAAACTCTGACAGAGTGAAAGGGCTGCGGTACCAGTATGTGCATGTAAGTCAACTACTGGTTGTCTATCATTGTAACACTATTACAGTAAGACATGGTTACCACTGTTTTTTTGTTTTGCGTTATCCTTTTTACCTTCAGAATCCAGCTTTGTGTGACTAGAGCATTTTGCCTAGAAATTGTCTTCAGTTTTCCACTCCCTGTTTTTACAGTACTTTAGATCCTCCCTGCAGTATCTGTCTCTACTTGACTGATTAGATTTATTTCTATTCTATTGTAGAGAATAATGGCATTAGAAGGCAACGAAACCCCTCACATCCTAGTGTTCGTTGATGAAGCTGGCTTCAACCTGGCCAAAGGTCGAAGGCGTGGCCGTAACATCATTGGCCACCGAGCCACTGTGGATGTCCCAGGCCAGCGAGGAGCAAATATAACAATGTGTGCCGCCATATCAGAAAGAGGTGTGGCCACACACATTCCCAGTTTAGGGCCCTACAATACACAAAAGCTCCTCAATTTTTTGGACCACCTTTATACTGATCTGATCCCAGAAAATGAGAGAGGTGAAGAAGGACCTCAGCTACCACATTATGTCATTGTGTGGGATAATGTGAACTTCCACCGCGGCCCACGCATCAGAACCTGGTTCACCACCCATCCCCGGATGCTGATGGAGTTTCTTCCACCTTACTCTCCTTTCCTAAATCCAATTGAGGGTTTTTTTTCAGCTTGGAGGTGGAGGGTGTATGAGCATCAGGCTCAAGACCAGAGGGCCCTGCTGCATGCAATGGATGCTGCATGTGAGGACATCACAGGGGATCAATGTAGGGGATGGTTGAGACATTCACGCCGTTTCTTCCCTCGCTGCATCGCAAGGGAAAATATCCGTTGCGATGTGGATGAGAATTTATGGCCTGACAGCGAGCAGCGCGTCGATGGCCAGGGGGATGAGGATGGTGGCCAGGAAGGAGAGGGTGACAATGGCGACCACTGAAAATATTACTGTACTATAGTTCTGAAACTTTATTTACAGTATGGTAGGCTAGAGTTTTTTTTGTTTTTTGTTTGTGTTTATAACTGTTCACATTTACAGAATCCTGTATATGTTTTCTTTTCACAGTATGTTCTCTAATGTTAACATTTCTTTGTACGAATAAAAATGTTTACAGTTTCCTTGAGTATGAGTGGTTTATTGGAGGCTGATTTTACTGTAACATCTTTTAGTTTTATTCATAGTGGTATTCTGTTGCTAGACCTGTGCCTCAGTGACAGAACGTCTAAGCATTTTGACTTGCAGTGCTTAAACAATGCCAAAGGTATAATGCATTTTGGGGGCATTGACTATTTATATGAGAAGGATATTTAGTTTTGACACATGGATAAACTCTTTTGGGAGAGATATGAGCTTTTGCAGGGGATCCATGGTGTTGTGCTAAACCATCCAGGTTATTTTGACAAAAGCACTAAATGAATGCACATGTGCCAAGGCAATTGAGAAGGATCTGTGCTATTTTGACTGTACTGACCTTTTATATGGGAAAGGAATCTGCTTTTGAAGCATGGACGAAGAGTTTGGGGAAAGATATTTGATTTTGCTAGTGAGCTATACTGTTGGGCAGAACTGTAAGACTGTTTGGCCAAATGACCTTATGGTTTTGAGAATGTCATCTCGGTTTCAAGAAATGAGCCAAACCAATCGAGAAAAACTGTAAATTAGTGAATTCCTATCCTGCCCAGTCAAATAAAGCTGAGATTTTGAGTTTTATTCTGTCTGATGAGTCCTGCATCAGGGGCCACTTCATAGCCATCTGCAAAGTCTATCAGCATGCTAACATTTGTTGACATTTGTAATTTTTGATATAGAAATATTGATCACCATGATGCAGCTGGTCAGGTAGCTGAAGACAGTTGCCTTCAGTTCAAAGTGCTCCCCGCGGATGATGGAGTAGGGCATAGTGAGCTCGAGGAAGAAGGGCTGGAAGACCTCAACTTCTTGACGAGGAGCCAAACCAAAACCCTGAGAGGACAAGCAGAAAGCCTCCGTCTCCCAGGTCGTGATGGTGTCAGGGACAGTGAGGGACACATCCTTTGATCCAGACTCTCTGAATCAGCAGATTCAAAATATGCACATTGTCAGGTGGTGATTACATAGATTAGCCTACAAAAACATGCAAAGACAGACAGACAGACAGAGACAGACAGACAGACAGACAGACAGACAGATAGATAGAGAGATAGATAGATAGATAGATAGATAGATAGATAGATAGATAGATAGATAGATAGATAGATAGATAGATAGATAGATAGATAGAAAAACTAAGACATACCCAACTTCCACCAGGTCCCAAATCCAAGTCTCGGGGAAGAAAGCACGGACAGTTTTCATCGGCCCTTCTGATGGACCTAAAGATCCTCCAGAGTAACTTGAACCCGCTTGTAATTTAGATTCATAGAAAAAAAGAAAAAAAAAGAAAGAATAAAAAAATAAATACTTAATCAGAATCAATAAGAAGGTGTAACACACTGCTTTGATTTTGGGAACTTTTTTATGATTTGGAATTTGCAAAGCAAATCAAAACAAAAATATCACCTAAGGGCATGAACTGGTATTCTCTTCCCATGAAACTCAGACATGAAGGAATTTCGAGCAGCAGGTTTGTTGCCACCTTTAATCCTACTCTCTAGACACACAAACATCACAGAGTTAATTGCAGCTAAAGCCATGAAAAGCATTATATTTATCATCAGCTGATATGCTCTGGAGTTTTACTGTTAGCTGGATGCAAAATCTGCAGATGGAATGCTGTTGTAATTATACCAAGTTCACCAATGCTGCAGAGAAGGACTATTGTTTGTCATATATTACATAGTGCAGTAGAATATTATTTATTTATGCAACTATTAAGACTCACCTTATGTGGAACATTTGAAACAGTCAAGGTGCGAGGCCAACATCAAGAAGCTGGATCCATGGATCCAGTGAAACACACAACACATGCTCATGGAAAATATTTATATATTACCTGAAAAGCAATGTAGGCTTCATTATCTCCTTTAGGTGAACAATATCTTCTTGTTCTCACTTTCAAGCATTTTCTTGGTTCTCGTAGCCGATATGGGAAAAAAGATGCTTTCATGACAGGCAGCAAGTTAAATATCTAAGAAAAAAAATGGTTCAAAGAAGTTCAAACAATTGAAAAAATCAGATTAAAGATCTGTACTTATATGAACCACATATGTAGTAATTACAAATGATCAGATCACTATTCAATGTAAGGTTTATACCACAGCTGTCCTAAATGAACAGGATTGGTAATTACCAAAATCAATTTTTATGGTTCTGTAATTCTCAGGACTGTGTGGAGAAGAGAGAGAGTGGACCCAAATGCAGACTACAGAGACAGACTTGAATTTTTAACAAACGTGAGCCTTTTATTCTTGGCTGTACAAATAACAAACAAAAAGCAAATGGAGATAGAGATGAAACTAACAAGACCTAAACTGGGGGAAAAAAAACAACCACTAAGTACCTGGATGTGAAGAAAAATAACATGGAACTTGAAGCCCTAAGCCATTAAAACCAAGACCAGAAATGTGAGTGGCGAACAGAGAAACCGACAAGTGACAAAGGGAAACTCAAATTATAACACACAGCAGGATGATCAGGGAAGTCGAAGCAGCTGGGGAACATATCAGACACACATCAGGAACTAATCAGACATAACAGGACAGGGGAAGCAAGAGACTGTCAAAATAAAATAGGAAGCACAACAAACATGGAGACGAACACTAAGACACGCAGGATTAAAGCTGTGACCGGGGGAGAAATAGACATGGGGACATAACTGACTGGGGGGACAGAGAGAGAACACAGATCACGAAGAAAAGAGTAACTAAGTGAGAGACGTGGAACACAGGGAAAACACAGAATAAGAAAATTAAAGACAAGAAACTATAAATATAACATAAGTGTCCTTCTACTAGTTTCCTTCTATCGAGCCACAATCGAGAGTGTGCTGGTCCACCCCATCTTCGTGTGGTACGCTTGTTGCACAATAGCTGATAAGAGACTCCAGAGGGTCACCAGAACTGCAGAGAAGGTGATCGGCTGACCACTCACCCCCCTGGATTCTATTGCCAGCTCTAGATGTCTCTCCAGAGCCAGGGCTATCTTAAAAGACCACCTCCATCCTAACCACCACCTCTTCAACATCCTGGTTCAGATCCATCAGATGCCAAACCAGCAGACTAAAGAACAGCTTCAACCCGTGGGCTGTCAGAACCATTAATGCAAATTAAGAGTGTGAACAGACTTCATTCTGTCGCTGCTTTTGACTCTCTTGTTGCCATTCCCTATGCAATATTTTGGTGTTTCCTTTTTCTGAGCAATATTTTGGCCCCTGTGCAATATTCTAGCAAATGTGCAATTACCACCCCATCCTTAATGACCACAGCCGTTCCACTGTTATTTATTTATTATATTATATTATTGCCCTTGTACATAACCCCAAAAGGTTTCTGTAACTCATATGGTGTACTAATATTGCTGAACTTATATTGTTTTTCTTCTTTGAATATTGTTTTCTGTACTTTTGCACCTTTGTGGTCTTGCTACCTAATTTTGCCGTGCAAGAGCTGCACAATGACGATAAAAAAAAAGTTCTTCTAAGTTCTAAGCAGAAAACAACTAAGAGAACCAGAACCATGAATGACACTAAATATAAGAATATTAATAAAACCCAAAAACACATAAACACTGGGTCACAGTCCCAGGACCATGACAGTAATGGTTAATATACCAGTATGAACAAGCTCTTTAATCAAAATATTTTTAATGCTAAAATATAAATACTATTGTTATCTCTGAAAATACATTTAAAATTATCGTTATATACTTGAATTTCTGAACAGAAAAAAGCATTTTAAGTTGAGTTTGCCAGCTGAAATCTGGGTATAAAAATGTGAATTCAGTTTGTTATTTGACAGTGTTCCTAAATATTTATCTTTTTCCCCTTTTTATGACAGTTAGCCAAATAAATGTTTTAATCACTGTCTCAGGATGCTTTATAACAGAATAAGTGTTGAACTGTATTAATAGTTGTTTTATACAGTTTTATGCAGTATTATACAAAAAAGAAAACAAATAGAGAAAAATAGGTAGAGAACAAAACCTCTAAATGACCAAAAAAGCCTATCTAGAAGCAAGATTTACAACTAGGCTGTGCAAGTTGCAAACACCTCCACGTGGGTTATTTATCAAAAGTAAGATTTTAAATACTTTTTTGTTCACCTGAAAGTTTATTTTATACCAACCATGCTTAAAATTATACACAGGTCTTGGTTCAACACACCAGTAAACTGAATAGATGCTATGGTTACACAGCAAGGAACTGCCATGAGACAGGTTAAACAGTTGTGAACCTCATAGTTGATCTCATTCAGTTTTGATTGGCTCTTCAGATGCAGGAGAATCTCTGTCTTGGCAATTATAGAACTTCCCCACAAATTAAGATCCATGTTGCCTTCATATAATGTCTGCTACTTATGACACTAGAAGAGACTGAGGCTACTCCACACTAATGTGTTTTCGTTTGAAAACGCATTGTTTTCTCTGTTTTGGCCCCCCGTCCACACTGAAACGCTGCGCTTTCCTCAAGGAAAAACGCAGCGTTTTGAAAACGCTCTTGAAATTGCATACATTTAAAAACGCAGCTGTCCTGTCGCAGTGTGGACACTCAAAACGCAGACTTTCTAAAACGATGAGTTTAGTCATGTGATGCAGTCATGTGACCAATTAAACAAAGATAGCGAAGTGCATAATACAGCAGTTGTTTTGTTTGCTCTCAATTTTGACAGCCCTAAAAAGATGAATATCAGTCTGTGCATGCTCCAGGTAGCTTTTCTTCAAACTTTAATTCTCACTCGCTTTTGCGAGCGCAGGACTGGAATGTAAGCGTTTTCATTCATTTCAATGTGGACGCGCAGCTGTGAAAACGACTGAAAACGCTAGTGTGGACGCGGTGCATTTTCAGATGAAAACGCCGTTTTCAAATGTATCCGGGCTAGTGTGGACGTAACCTGAGAGTGAAGGATGTATAAGGTGGTTGAGACCACACTTACCTTATCTGCATGCAGGATATTCTCAGGCTCTTTGATGAGGACACTCTTGTCAATGGCACTTAAACCACACAAAGAGTGTGGAAGCGCCGTCACCTCCATGTTGGTTTTTTCTCCTGGGACAGTTGAAGAAGGTGTGAACTCCAATGACACCTGACACAGACAAAGCGTGTATTACACCATCTAAACTTTAATGGTTTTAAAAGAACAAAAAGTTCAAGCCTATATCACACAGAAACCATTCACTAGCTTTTATGTAGTTTTTGGAGTTCAGGTTTGATAATCACTGTGTCATAGTCTGGGTGAGCTCGAGTGTTTTTTCCTCTGTTTTTCTTGTGTTGCCCAGTATCTACCCTGGGGTGGCGTCCTCGTCATTCACCTGATCTGCTCCCCTCATCCTCACTGCAATCAGTGAGATAGCATTTAAGACCAGGGTCCCCCATCTCTTCTCCACCTGTTTTCGAGCTAACCTCACGTTGGTAACCGGCCTTATCATTCTCCTTGTTAAAGGAGCATTTTCTGTTGCACATCCGCCACTCAGGATTAATCCTTCTACCGCTTCCGCCTGTCCTCCTGCCACCTTCTCTCTTGGCTCTCTAGAAAAGAAAGGTTGGAACCCTCTCACTAGCTCACCATTCTAGATGCACACCTAGCGATTCAAACCTGCCAAGTAAGACTCTATTTCAGTATTAGTCACCTCTCCAGACAAGCTTCCCTTGCCTTTTCTCTAACCATGCTCTCCCTCTGTTCAGTTTTGCTACATTCGGTTCCCTGCCAAGTATCCCTCCTTCGTGACACTCCAAGGGAGTTTTTCCTCCCCACTGTCGCCAAAGTGCTTGCTCATAGGGGGTCATATGATTGTTGGGTTTTTCTCTGTATCTATGAAGCGCCTTGAGGCGCCTTTTGTTGTGATTTGGCGCTATATAAATAAAATTGAATTGAATTGAATTAGATTAAAGGGGCTTTTTCCAGGAGGTGAAAGTCAGGCAGGTGAAAACTTGAGGTCTCTCTCTGAGCTCTTCCTTGAGGAGGAGGAGAGTCTTAGCACCAGCAGTTAATTACTTTATTGATCATAAGTTTCCTCATTAATTCAGGAAGAGCTCCAAGTGGCGTCTTAAACCCTGAGTCTTGGCTCTTCTCATTAACTACAGAGCTGCAGGGCTGTGAACATCCACCTGTCTCTCTTTCTCTTTCCGTGGCCTCGCTCTGATCGTGATTTTATTTTTTCAGATTAAATGAATACAAATAAATGTAATTACAGACTTCCAATGTGATATGCAGCCTGCAGTCTGATTGTCACCAAAGCAACTATTTTAATTCAAAATAACCAATCTATTTTTTGTGTCACACTTTCATGCAACTTTTTTGCTTAAAGACAACAGCACACTATTATAAATTATTCGTAAATATTTAATTTGTGATACATATTTCTTAAAATGATCTACATCCCAGAAAACTTTGGATTTCTATTTATCCATGTACACAGAACCAAAAAGTTAAAATACATGCACATATTTGGGAAAATTCCTTAAAGCAATGGTAAAGCTGAATAGTACATAAATAGTACAAAAAGGGAAATGCAGTAATTTGTCATATAATAACATTTAATCACATTTTCTGTTTAAAAGATGCAATACTAGGAATAATTTCACAAAATAGACGTTTCTCAACTTACAACACTAATTTCTTCAGTGAGATACTCTTCTCTGCAACTCTGTCAGTGCTGCCATTATCAAAAGCCACAAGTATGTCCTTTAGCCATCAACATACAGATGGGTTCAAGATGTTATGATCTGTAGTGAGAGTATGGAGCAGGTGGAAGCGAGCCTGCAAAGGTGGAAGTATGCACGGGAGACAAGAGGAATGAAAGTGAGTAGAATGGAGACAGAATATATCTGTGTACATGAGAGACAGGTTGGTGGAAGAGGAGGGATAGCGGACATACTGGACAAAGGATGTTGAACATGTAGCTGTCAAACAGAAGGAAAAAAGAAAGACCAGAGAAGATTCATGGATGTAGTGAAAGAAGACATGCAGAGTGTTAGTGTGACAGAATAGGATGGTAGAGTCAGGTTGAGATGGATGAAATTTTTATACAGAAGAACTATTGGTAGATGAAAACAAAACATATGGAGGCATATTTGTGTTTAAAAAACATCTTTATTAAAATGCAAGTTGTACAACTTGAGTGACAACCTCAGGACTGACTGCACATCTTTAAGCTGCAAACAAAGAATAAAACGTAAGGATGCAATTGTGTTAAAATAATCGTTTAGTAATGAATAATAATAATAATGGATTGCATTTATATAGCGCTTTTCGGGACCCCTCAAAGCGCTTTACAATACCA